GGGTTTGCGTCGTAGGTCGTGTTCAAATTTAGTGACTGTCTGAAGAGTGGTACCACCTCCTCTCATTCTGCTTAAAGTGGTGTCTTTTTGACAGGTCTCACTGTTGTATTCACAGTGGGTTTTGAAAGGGATTCAGTTGGGATGCAGGTGCTTGTGTCACTCGGATTAATTAATGCCACCATTGGAATGGAGCACTCATTAAGTTTTCACTTGTGAATTAATTCTTTTGCTGTGACGATAAAGTGGGTAAATCGGCAGATTAGAAGGTAGGTGTTTGCAGCAGGAAGTAGTTAGTGTCATGCAATGTTATTTTATACCTAGCACTCAGGATAACCCCGACTTTGACATGCAGGATGAAGTAAATGCCATGGCTTTGCAAGGGGACGTAGAAATGAATTATGCCTAATGAATTGTGTCTTTTCCCTGATCAGACTAGTCAACACTTGAGTGACTTCAATCTCATCATTTCTGATGGTGTGGTGCCCTCTCCTCGAATCCTGTCTCGCAGTGAGTGTGGAAGCAAAAGGTAGGTGTTTCGGGTCTATCTTACCTATTTACTCATCAATTTGCTGAGAAAGCAGAAGGTAGTGGTGTAAGCAAGAAGTGCGTGGGAGAGGATCAGGGGTTTATTTAAACATTCGCGAAAGGTCGACGTTTCCTTTTCTGGTTTGCTTGCATGGAAGTGGAAGCTCCACCGCCACCACTAACATCAACACCACCGTAGCGACGTCTCCGATGCAGCTATTTGTGGGCTGGCTCCATCAGAACCACACGGAGGATCAGTTGCGACAATATTTTTCTCAATACGGTGCCATTACCAAATGCTGCATCTGGCGCAACTCTAGGACGAACAAGTCGAGCTGCTGCGGCTTCCTCACCTACGAGGAGGAGGCATGCGCCAATCGCGCGCTGGCCGATTGCCCGCATTTCATTGATGGTAGCCGAGTAAAGTTGGAGCCATTCAACTCAAAGAAGACGATAAAGAAGAGAGGGAAGTCAGTGGTCGCACCCTTACACAAGTAGGTTGGCCTTCTATCCACACTAACATATATGAGTGGAGGAGGGGACTTAAATCAAACAGCAACTTATCATATGGCACTTGATATTAGAGAGATGGGAAGAAACTTCTGCTGCCATTACTGTACAAAAAGCCTTGTTTTGGTAGAATTAGATGTCTTTTGCTTACTTGCAGAAACGAAGAGGCCTCCAACGAGGCCAATGGCAAACATCAGTTGGTTGTTGATGGACTTCCGCCTCTCCCGAGAGTGAATGACATTCGCAGCCTCTTTGGTCGATTCGGTGTGGTCATCGGTGTGAGGGTAGATGAGACTTTGCACAGAGCCTTTGTGGCCTTCTCCACTGCAAAGGCACTCCAAATGGCAGTGACAGCAGCTCCTCCCCGCCTCAAGGGTATGACTCTTCGCGTACTGCTACCCAAGGACCATAAAAGCAGGTGCGGTGGTCTTTAATCACTCACATTCATTTTCAAGCTATATCGCTTCTCGTGATGCCGTGATAATCGCTTCACAGAAGTCTTGGTGGCAGCTTCTTTTTGGGGTCTAACATCTGATCTCTGCATTCTGGTTAGTGGTTTGCAGTACCAGTTGAGGTCTCGTCAATGCTGTGGGTCTTGCACTAGCTTCATCTGCTGGAAAACATGCAATTCCCTTGTTGCTATCACGTCTCACCATCTGTGTTTTCAAATAAGCTGATGTGGCGGCATCTTTTGGTCTCATCTGCTTGTGTAACTCATGGAGATTGTCTCGGTAGACGTTGGTAGTAAGCTTGTATTCCTGAGTCATCAGGAAACCATTAATAAGGTCACACTTTTCGCCATTGTGCAACCATATATATCATTGTGGATCGATGGGATGGATTCACCTGCGTCGGAAGAGTGGAGTAAAGCAAATTAGGCAGAGAGGAGGAGCACGATCGACGATTTATTTTACCATGGTGCATGATAGTGTGGTTTGAATGCCAACCGCATTTTTTACGAGCGTTTGCCGTGTGTTGATAGATTTAAACGACTTTCGTCTATTTGCAGTGACAAAGAGACTTCTAATGATGCCAAAATCGAACATCATCTGGTTGTTGATGGTCTTTTAACCATCCCAAAAAAGAATAGTCATCGTAGCGCCTTAAGTCGAATCGGAGAATTAAGCAAAGTGAAAGAGTATGAGAAGACAGATGCAGTGACAGAGCCTCCTTCCCGACTCGCTGACATTTGCTCCCACGTCTCCTTACCTGGGGATCATGAATACAGGTAGGTCAGAACTTGCTCAATCACTTTTGCTTTCTAAATATCCTGATCATCCTAGAGCTTTAAACCAGTGCTGTTGCAAATGTGTGCTCTGAAAATGCAGAGCTTCATGGTTTGATTTGCGTCATTTGGGTCAAAGATGACTGGCTAAATTTCAAGTTGTTTTCTTTTGCGCACAGCTCCAACACCAAATTCAGATGGAATTGCAACTCTTCCAAAGGCAACGACTTTTCTATCCGCAACCCTTGCATTCGCTATTCGAATTTGTATGACTATTGGACAGATTCGGATGCCCAAAGGAAAGACGGGAACAGGCAAGAGTGTCCTCATATTATTCTGTCACGACAATGCTCTTTTAAGAGAATTGAGCTGAATGTTGTATGAGTGTGTATAAAGTTAGTGCTGTAAGGGTGTGACTTAGAGTTCACTCTATTGAATTAAATTAAACACATATTGCACACCCTTCTCTAGGGAATAGACGAGGGTGAGAGGGACAGTCAGAGTAAAACGAATTTCCCATGCAGAAGAGGGGTGTATATTCCCTCACCACGATGTCGGTGCTAATGGAGTGCCATATTGCTTCTGATGCTCACCAGAGGTTCATGTGAAGCGTGCTTCTGGTTTCTAGCACCTGGCAGATGTTGGGCCATGCCAGTGTGCAAAGTTAGCGGTAGAGTTACAGGGTCGAGGATATGCGGTAACCTTATCTCTACTAGACTTACGCGTTGACATGTAGCAGCCGATTTGACTGTTGCCTATTGTCTCTCCTTGCCCTGTGAGTTATGCCATCTGGAAAGAGGAAGAATGCCTGATATTTAAAGCGTTTCCTTTTGCCCACATTTCCAAT